TAGGACTGGTGTGCAGGGAGTCAGGCTACAGCGTGTGCTCTGACCTCTGCGTGCAGAGGTCTGGGTCCTGAATGGCCTCTGCCTCAGCTGTGGAGGAAGGGAGGGGGCTAAAGATAAAAAGGATGGGTGACCGGGGCTACGAGCAGAACCACAGGGGCCAGAGCCAGCTCCCTGCCCCAAGGCAAGTCACAACACCATTCTGTGCCTCCAGCTTTTATCTGTGACAGCATGTCCCTGGAAGGAGAGTCCCCTCCAGTCTTGGGATCCTGTCTCTCCAATGGCAGAATTGAGAATTGTTTGTCACAAGAGGGAGGTGACCATGATGGTGACTCTTTCTCTGGCCCGCTGTGTCTCTCCCACTCCACCCCAGACAAATCCAACCAGGATCCAGCCTGAAAGAAATGGAAATAGTTCCTTCTGCCCAAGAAATAATAAAGCCTTCTGCTTCCGGCCCATGACTTATATTCTTGCTAAGATTACTAGAAGCAAAAAAGATGCAGTGCATTTCCTCTGGAGATTAAAGAACTGATGACACAACGAGATTCATCCTTCTCTCTAATCAAGTTCCTATTCCCAAGACTTTGCATCAGTCTTGATTCATTCACTCCTTTGGGAATTCTACAAGCACAGACTGCCTGGTATGGGGAAGACACTGAGCTCGGCACTGGGGGGCCAATGGCAAGTACAATGGATGAGCCCCTTGACCACAATGACCCTGAGTCTAAAGGGGACACATAGAGGCGTTGGTAAGGACTTATACTAAAAGTGACAGAAAACTATCTTAGACTGGCTGTAACCAAGAAAAAGGTTGGGGTGGATAGGCTGTCTTCAGCCCAGTAGGTTCCAGCTGCTCTAACAGGTGTCTCTCTTCCTCTCTTGACACTGCCCTCTGTGCTGGCTGCATTTGCAGGCAAGCCCTCCCTTACCGTGTGGGGGCTGCAGTACACTGTCACCTTTGCTCTCTAGCCCAGAGAAAAGTGTGTGGCCAGCTCTCACATCAAGCACCAGCATGCAGAGCGACCATCAGAAGTACCCACAACCCAGCCTTACACCAGCTTCAGAGCACAGGAGGGTGGGGTGCTTCAGCTGGCCCAGGGTCCCAGGTAGAGTGGTTGGGAGGACAGTCCCCAAAAGAGAGAAGGAACACTAGACAGGTAAAAATGACAGATGCCCATTGCAGGGGGATTAGATCTGAGACATAACTGTGTGGATAATTAATATTGCACTTCTGATAAAAACAATGAAGGAAAAGCGCAAGGTGCTACGTGCGGTATAAAAAGGCAATGAAGGGGCTGGCCCGGTGGCGCACTGCTACAGTGCGCTGCTTGGGAAGCACGGCGGCGCTCCCGCCGAGGGTTCGGATCCCACATACAGAACGGCTGCTCACTGGCTGAGCGAGGTGCAGGCGCGACACCGAGGGTTGCGATCCCGTTGCCGGTCCCAGTCCGGTACGGGCGCGACACTGAGGGTTGCGATCCGTTGCCAGTCACGAAAAAAAGACAAAAAGGAAAAAAAAAAAAGGCAATGAAGCCCAGAGCTGTGGGTCAGAGAAGCCCCTGAGGAGGTGGCAGGATGAGGAGGAGATACCCAGGCTATGGGAGGGGCAGAGAGCACCCTGGGCAGAGGGAGGAAGCTGTGGAAGGGCCCAGCTGTCGGGTGAAGATATGGGGCTCAAGAGGAGCAGGGTGAGATGAGTGTGGAGGGATGGAGGGGCAAGGCCCACCAGCAACACCATAGGGCACATTGACTGATGTGTAAGATGTATACTGGTGGCCGGAGGGTGTCCTGAAGGGTTGGGTGTGGGCTGCCTCAAGTGCTCCCAAAGCCATAGCTGAACAGGGGTCTGTCTCTCTGAAGGCAGTTCACATTCTGAGTCTGCCCCCAGCACCTCATGTCCTGGGCAGGGAAGCCATGGAGTAAACCTACTTTCCAAAGCCAGGACTCACTCCAGGCTCCAGACTTCCAGGGAGTCTGAGGGCATTTGGGATGCCGCAAACCTTTCCAAAGATCAAGGTCACCCTGGTCCCTCAGGAACCTTCAGGCTGATGGCCAGTGGGGTCAGGGCCAAAGAAACCAGGGGTCACAGCAAAGAGGATTTGGAAATTGATCATCCATCTGCAGAAAGGAAGGTTCCTATGCCAGGCAGAGCTGGAGACCCAGCCTCATAAGCTAATGCGAGTTTAATATGGAGTCGAGGGAGCTGGACGCTGGCCTGGTCAACTGCCTGGGAGATGTTCAAAAATAGAGCAGGGTAGGGTGTCCCCCGCCTGCCCCGCACTATTCCGCCACCCGAAAGGCAGAGAGGGCAGTCCAGCAAGCAAAAGCATCACTTCCACATCAATCACTTTGTATAAGGGAAGAGTTATTGTTATGGGATGCTGGCGTCTGATCAATATCTCCTGCTTTGAAAATAAACTTCTTGGCTTGGCCTTGACATTAATCTACCATCAGGAGCCCATTATCTCAAGACCAATGTTCTGTTCTATTGACTTGCCTGATTTTTTTTTTCTCCCCCAAGATCAGAGTATAATTGCATTTCTCCAGGCAGCACTTCCACTAATTGCAGTCCCATGAGTATCTCCTCTCGGGAAGCCCAGGACAGAGTACATCTGGGCTGGGGATGGAGACAGCAGGAGGTAATGGGGGAGCCTTAGGTGCAAGGTGGAAGAGCAGCCCTTCTAGAGCTCCTGAATTAACCAAGACATGAAGCCCCATCCCCAGCATTCCATCGAGCAGTTCAAGCTGAAAAGTTCACTTGTGCACAGAAGCGAGGTTGTAGATGTCCCCACTCCTACTCCTCATTCCACAAATGAGAGACGATGATAACAAGAAGAATAATAATGTGCCAAATCTAGCTGTGTGCCTCCTATCTGGACTGCTACAAGAGCCTTCTAGGCCTTCTCTCCCCAAAGCCTGCACCCCACAGGCCATCCCACAGGCAGACTTATCTTTGTAAAATATAAATTGGATTACATCATCTCCCTCACTGAAGACTTTCTGTGAATACTCCGTATTCTGCCCCAGAGACCCTTATAAGAGCGTCCACCCACCTCTCTTCCCTCTGCACCAGGCTTCTGGCTGTCTTTGTGCAATGATTATGCCAAGCTTGGCCCTACCCCAGGGCCTTTACACTCACTCTTCTCTCCACCTGTTCTCTCACCCCTCAGATCTTTACGTAACTTTTACCTTCTGGTCATTTAAGTCCCACCTCAAATATTCCCTGACTGATGAGGGTAAAGTAGCATTCCACACATCCATGCACCAAGTCTATCCACCTGCCTTGGTAGGCACACGCTGCCATCGGAAACCATCTCCCCAGAGAAGTTACCCACCAAAAAATTACCCCAAAACATATCATCTTAACACAATAAACAGTCATTAGTTCCAAGTTTCTCTGGCTCAGGGATTGGGAGTGGTATCATTTGATAGTTCTGGCATGGACCTGTCATGAGATAAGAGTCAGGCTATGAGCCAGGGCTGCAGCCGTCTGCATACAGGACTGGGACCAGAGCCTCCACTTCTAAGATAGCTCACTGGCACAGCTGGCAAGTTAGAGCTGTTGGCAGGAAGCCTCAGCTCTCACCACATTGGCCTCTCCACAGCGCTGCCTGAATGTGCTCAAACATGGCAGCTGGCTCCCCCAAAGCAAGTGATCCCAGAGAGAAAGGTGGAAGCCACAGCATCTTTATGACCAACTTTTCTGCCACATCCTATTGGTTACATAGCTCAGTCCTCATGTGACTCATTTGGGAGACAACTACACAGGGGCACAAATACTAGGAGGTGAGGGCCATTGGGGGCCATCTTGGAGGCTGGTCACCACTTTCCCTTCCATGACAGCAGAGGCCTTGGCTGGTTTACCCACAACTGGATGTCCCCAGCACAATGTTTGGCCCATAGTAGGTACTCTATAAATATTAATCAAATGTATGAAGTAATAATTATAATATCTAACACAACTATGACCATGTGCCAAGTCTGTGCTAAGTACTTTATGTGCAATATCTCATCCCCTAGTCCCACTTCATTTAATCCTTTATATATGAGGAAACTGAGTCTCAGAGAAGTTAACTTCCTTGCTCAAAGTCGTAAAGCTGGTTTCTGAGCCAAGACTTGAACTGAGGTCTGCCAAAGAGGATCTGTTTCGGCTGGTCCCCTCAGTGGGTATGAGTCAGCATTGACGGTACTTGTTAAGAATCCCCAAATTGCTGTCAGACCAGCATGGAGTCAAACTCAGGGTTCTTTGTGAGGCTATATATTCCTCCTGGGAGGGGGGCACAAGGAGAAACCTCAGATCCCACACTGCAGCAATACCCAGTGGCTCGGCTTAGCAAGGCCCACTACAGAGAAGGCGGGGCAGGGGGCCTGATGGAAGTGCCCAGGGGAACCCAGCAAGAGGCTTGAAGATCTAGCAGGAGACTCCAGAATCTAACGCCGGAGTCAGCAAATATGCAGAGCTATGTGCCACCTTATCCCTTCCCACTCTCATCTGAGGCAGACATCACTGTGCAATCACCATAGTCTTTCCCACCAAGCCCCCGATGCTGCCTTGGAATTCTTGTCAACACGGCACTCCAAGCATAGTGGTTTAGAGCTCAGACTCTGGAATCAGTTAAAACCGTGTTTAAATTCTGGTTCCATCACTTACTAGCTTTGTGACCTTAGACAAGTTTCTTAGCTTCTCTGAGCCTCAGTTTCTGCATCTGTATAATGAAGCTATGTTACTTCCTACTTTATAGGTTTTCTGATGAGGCTTAAATGCAGTTGTGCATGTGAAGCACTTAGCACAGTGTTTGGTGATGATAAGCACTCATTGCTGTCAGCTATTTTTACTGCTGTTATTTTATTACTGTGGTAGTATTACCTCGTGAGTTCTCTGAGCACGTCTCCAGTAGACAATCCAGGCTGATGCTTTCACTGAATGCACTAAGGAACACTAATCTTTGAGGGGACAGTGAATTGGAGTCAGAAACATCATCTCTCTCCCTTCTCACCTGCAGGTGTGGATGTGTGGGGGCCGCATGGAGGACATCCCTTGCTCCAGGGTGGGCCACATCTACAGGAAGTATGTGCCCTACAAAGTCCCTGCTGGAGTCAGTCTGGCCCGGGTAAGGTGGTGGCTTTACTGGGGGGAATCAGTATGAGCATCACTGAGGCACCATGAGGCACCTTGGGACCCAAGCCAAGTGATCCCTAGGTGTGAGGGTGTGCCCCCATTTTCCAGGTGAAGTCCAATTTAAAAGAACTTAAAGCGCTGCTTAACTACTTTTTGGCTGTGATTTTGGGAGGGTTGTTTAACTCCTCTGAGCCTGTGTTTCTTCCTTTGTTTACAGGGAGCTAATTCTTTCCAACTCTTAGTGTTGCCAGGAGAATTAAGGAAATGATGCAGTTTCCCCAAGTGTGATAGATGAGATGATCTTAGGTGGTAAACACGGAAACGTTTTCATTTTTGTATTTAAATTAATGTGGATTAGAAATTAATGTGTATTAGTGTAGCAAACGTGATTCACAGATATTATTACTTAGGATAAAGATAAAGTAGGTGCAATGTTAGAACAAGGATGACAAAGAAACGTGTTAGATAAATATTAATACAGGTGGTATGGGCCGCGGTGGCGCTCCCGCCGAGGGTGCAGATCCCATGTGGAGACCGGTTCCCGCTCACTGGCTGAGCGCGGTGTGGGCGCAACACCGATGGTTGCGATTCCGTTGTCGGTCCCCGGTACGGGCGCGACACCGAGGGTTGCGATCCCGTTACCGGTCAGTAAAAAAGACAAAAAGGAAAAAAAAAATACAGGTGGTATGGTCTTTGGGAAAGCTGGAGAGGAGGTATTTAAAACTTCCTGCAGGGGGAGGAGGGGCTAATAATGTCAGTGTTTTTCTCTTCTCCCCACCCCCTCCTCACTTTCACTGCCAAAAACTACGTGTATCAGACTGTTTCATTGCCTTAAAATGGTTTGTATTAATCATTGCTTGAATTAAATTGGTCACTGGGTACAAATGGAAATCTGTTAGCCAGAGTTTCGTTTTTGGTTTTGGTTTGGTTTGGTTTGGTATTAAATGTCCTGGGGAAAAAAATAATAAATCAGGGTGACCACAAATGAAAAGGTGGGAGGGTTCCCAGAGGGTAAAGAGCCGCAGGGAGGTTTGGGGGGAGCTGGAAAGGTCACCGCTCCCACCCCCGCCGAAGGAGACCTCCTCGTGCGAGCCTGTCCGCCTCCTGCCCAGGTCGTGCCTCCGCCTCCTTCCTCATCTGACGACCTTGACGTGCAGAGCTGTAGCCCCTGGGTCCTGTAACTTACAAGGAAAACTGAGAGGCTAGAGCAGGCAGCGCGTCTCCCCAGGCTCCTTCCGTGGGTGACAGGGGAGCTCCGGGCAGCGTCCGGCGCTGCTTTGGAAGCGGGCGTTGCGGGAAAGGAGAGCCGGCAGTGCCATCTAGTGGTGGAAGATTCTAATGATGGTCTCAGCAGCCATCGACGCTGTGGACAGCCCAAGCGATACTGGGGTAGAGTTCCAGACGCATACCGATGAGGCAGGAATCGCATGTCTTCTGAAATACCATTGGCGATCTCTGAGGAAGGTGCCAGGCAGGAAAACAGAGCACAGGCTCTCGGTAAACCGAAGACTCACCCCGTAGATGAATTCAATGAGTGACAGCTGACTGTAGGAACACAAAATTTCCTTCAGCCAAGCTTCATGCAAAGCATCTTACATACTTATCTTAATTCTCACTTGTGCTTAATTAACCCCGATTTTAGGAATGAGGAAAGTGAAACATGGTGAGGTTAAGTAACTAGAGCCAGAATTCAAACCCGTTTAGGTCTGACAAGTCTGGCACATAGCAGTCATTCCTTACATAGTGACTGTTCTTGTTAACATCAGAATCAATATTAACAATTAAGACTGGAAAGTTCATTTCAATGTCTTATCTGAATTCTGTGTTTAGGCATTTTAACTTACTTCTTTTTTTAGCTGTCTGTACCAAATCTGTATCCTGTGTTTGACTTTAAACCAGTTATCAGTCTGGGTGGTACCCCATGCCTCCTTCTCCCTATGAGCTCTGTGATCTGATTATGTGTAGGTTTGCAGGACCACAAAGATGCCTGAATCAGGGGAGGCCTTCTGTTACAGGATCTAACTACCTTCATTTAGTTGCAGATCATATTTTAAATGTTTGCTCAGTGTTTTAACAACCAAATCCTAAGCCTTCTAGAGCATGATCTCCTAGAACATCCTTTTGATAGATTTGAGGAAAGGTGTTCCCATAGCCCTAAGAGAGTGAGGTAAAGAGGAAAAGTGAAGTTGTGCAGATTCCAGAAGGACAAGCAGCCAGACAGCGGTGAGGCAGCAGCAATCTGGTAAGGATGAGCTATCCACCAGTGTGCCTGCCTCAAGAACAAGTAGCCAGTCTTATTTTGTTTACTAAACTTGCTAAAATCTTTCTTGTCTCTGCCTCTGGAAAAAAGGTCTTAAGGAAGGCGATAACAGAAACGCTCTCAATCTTAGTGAAACAGAAGTGTAGACTTATTCCAAGGATCCAGGCAAATCTCTGTAATCCAAACTGGGACTCAGAACCAGGAAGTGTTGAAAGCAGGGGTGTGAGGAGCACAAAGTCCATTAAAATCTCAAGACACTTTTCATGACTCTAGCAAGGGGAGATAAGAGAAATAAATGTAGTCCTTTCCTTTGGTCTAAAAACTCAGCTATGTAAAAGATCAAGATCTGGGAGAAATGGCTTATTAAACCATGCCTGGAAAACATAATCAATATTAATTTAAATAGTAATTAAAATATTAATTAGAATTAAAATATTATGTTATATGGTCCTTTAAGAATATCACTGGGGAGTTTGGCTGCTTTCTGTGGTTAGGTTGGCCAGTCTTGCTTTTGGTTGGAGTGAAACGACAGTAGTTCTCATTATCCCAACAGTTTGAGCAAGTTAGACAATGAGCTAAAGGACTTGAGTGGGCAGACTGGAAAAAGGAGAGGAAACACTGTGTTTTAGAGTGTTCAGGTATACAGGCTCTGTTAGGTCTTCAATTTCCTCTGGGCACAATTTTAAATTAAACACAGCCTTTGCTGAGTAGGGGCCTGGTGGGGATAACACTGTTCCCAAACTGTTTTCTAACCCACTGTGGACTCTAGCACGCAGGAAAAACTAAGCAGCAGGAAACGTAGTGGTTTCCTGGTCCCAAATTCAGAGCCAGCAACACTGAAGAGCTGGTGGATTTGGTCTCCCATTTGGGGGTCTCCCTCATGTTAGTTTCCTTCCCCCTTACTTAGGAGTAGGCAAACCACATTTGTATGGCCCATGAGCTAAGAATGGTTTTTATATTTTTAAACAGTTGGGAGGAAACAAATCAAAAGAAGAATATTTTGTGACACATGAAAATCAAATTTCAATGTCCATAAGTTTTATAGGTACACAGACATACCATTTACATGTTGTCTATGCTGCTTTATAGCTACATCAGACTTGAGACCATATGGTTTACAAAGCCTAAAATATTTACTATCTGGTCCTTTATGAGAAACATTTCAACATTTGCCACCCCTGCCTCCTAGATCAGTTCTTCACACGTAGGTGTGAATGACTGATAACAACCTAAAATGCTAACTCCCCTTTACCCTTCAGAGGAAAATTTGAATCTAAATAGGGAAAAAAACTTACAACAAAGGTAAAGCCTGAACAGTTATGTGTGTATGAAGGTCTTTCAAAACATTCTTGGAATTAAAAGATAAATCTTTCCATGAATTTTTTGATGCCCCCTCATATGTGTGTGTGGTGCCAGTGGGGTAGGGATGGGAGTCCTCGCAATAGCCAGAGTTTGGGGGAAGATGTTTTGGAGCAGGCAGTTTCCTCTGAACCTTGAATTTGTGCTCTCCATGATCAGCTGTCAGAGGTTCTCACTGGGTGATGTCTACACTGCAAATGGAATAAGGAATTTTCATCACAATTACACATAAGAATCCACTCTTCCTCTATCCCCAAGTCTTCTCACAAACAGAATGTTTCCTCACCTGCTACCTCTACTTGCCAGTAATGTGGTGGTCATTTTTTTATTGATTACCTGTGTGCACCAAAATAAAAATAGCAGCAACCTTTGCACCTCAAAGAATTATTAGAATTTCCGGCTGTTAATAGAATTATACCTTTTGGTTGCAAATTATAATTTGTTTTTACCATGCAATTTGGTCAGAACTCTTTTAATTGAAAATGACAGACACCCAACTCAAATTGGCTTCGCAAAAAAGGGAATTTACTGGCTCATGTAACTAGAAAGTCCTGAGGTGTTTCTGCCTTCAGACATGGCTGGATTCCAGTGCTAAAAGGAGGAATGTGTTCCTTGATCTAGCCCTCAATGCTGCTTCATTCTGGGGGTGATTTAATCCATCGACAAGCTTTCCTCATGGTGGCCATATGGCCCCCCAACTCTTGCTGACATCTTACCCAGCAATCCAAGCAGAAACAGAGCAATTCTTCCCGGTAGTTCAGCAAAAATTCCCAGGCTAATGTCTCTATTGGTTCTGATTGGCCTGGCTAAGATCACATGCTCATTGCTGACCAGTCCGTGTCCAGGGGTGTCTACATTCACATCAGCCAGGCTGGGTCTGTCTTTCTTCCAACCAGTAAATTGACAGTGAGACAGGGGTGGCTCCCCAAAGGAAAGTTTCTAGTGACACGGTGGCTATCACTAGAAAAAGAGGGGATGGAAGATGGGTAGGCAAAACGACAGCAGTCTACTATTCAATTGTAAGTTGTAAGTCCTCAAAACATGCATAAATAACACAGAGAAATCCGGAAAGCCTAAAAACATGGTGTGACTAGGATCTTTGCTGCAACCTAAAATAGGAAAGGGTTGCCAGGACTCTTTGCACCGCAGCCCCTGGCCTTAGTCCCTCGGCGAGCCTGACTTTTCTTCCCGCCTCTGTTCCCCCAGAACCTTAAGCGAGTGGCGGAGGTGTGGATGGACGAGTACGCCGAGTACATTTACCAGCGCCGCCCGGAGTACCGCCACCTCTCGGCCGGGGACGTGGCGGCCCAAAAAAAGCTCCGCAGCTCCCTGAACTGCAAGAGTTTCAAGTGGTTCATGACCAAGATCGCCTGGGACCTGCCCAAATTCTACCCGCCCGTGGAGCCCCCGGCTGCGGCTTGGGGGGAGGTGAGTGTGATGGGCAGGGCCCAGTGTGAATGCAAAGGCAGGAGAAAGTGCGCGGAACGTACTAATAGGAGACCGTGTCCTTTCTTTCCTGGCGTCTCTCTGAACTTGTCCTGGTGTTGTATTTGCAATAATTTAGTGTTCTAAGTATAGAAAAATTAAAACTTTAAATAATTTGCATGAATCTTTGTATAGCAGTGCGGGTGTTAAGTGCAGATGAAGGACATGTAACTCATGTTCAGAACAGATGAAATGACGGATCTGTGTTTCACACCTCCGGCACGCATAGGTATTTCTTACCAGAATAGTGAAAAGACTGCATAAAACATACTCAACTGTTTTGAGAAGCTGATGCCACAGTGGGATTAGACGTGCAAGAGGTTTATTGATGAAATTCCTGAAAAGAAAGATGAGGGAGCCCTGGGAGACTGGAAGAGCGGGAGACCATGGTTCTGGTCTGACCTCCGTGAAGAGGAGGGGAAGGAGGGAGGCCTGGGGTAGGAAGAGTCCCAGACTGCAGCGTGGCTCTGAGGACATTGTGGCCAGGTTAATGAAGTCCTCAAGCCAACTCACCTGTCAGAAGGATTCAGCACCTCCTAGGAGTGGCCTGCCATAGTATCCCCACGTCCTTTGGTCACTGGCTGGGGAGCAGCCCACGGGAAGACACGTGCTAGATTCAGACCACACAGCATGGCTGTTAGACTCCCTGCAACAGGAAGTTTAGTGGCCCATTTTTCATAGCTGCCACGTCGCCCCCATCCCTCAGACAACATGTGATTCAACACCAAGCACAGTGGCCTGCCCATAGTAAGTGCCCAGTCAGTATTTGTTGGCCAAGCAAGGCTGGTGGGGGCTGCCACCTCTTGTCATTCACCTGCCCTAAAAGGCAGAGAGTCCAAGACCTATAGCAAAGATTTTGTGTCCTTTTCTACAGGGTTTTTGAGGTACAGTCCCTGGACCATCTGCACTTGGGTCACCTGGAATGGGGGTAAATTTGATTCCTGGATCTATGGGATCAAATTCTCTGGGAGTGGACCAGGGAGTCTGCCTTTTCACCGCTTCTCACTTCCAGCCTCCCACCACCACCAACCCATGACTCTGCATGCTCTAACACAGCAGTATTTTGAGGATTACTCTCTGTGGACTGAGTATTCCTCTGCTGAGAGTCTCCAGGCACTTCCAACAGCCCAGGGCAAGCTTCATTAAGACAATTCGAAGCTGTGCCCATCTAACGTCTCTGCCTTGGTTCCCCTCCCTGCCAGCAGGGCCCAGTGGGTACCTTGGGGTGCCTCACTGGTCCGCTTCTTCCCTCTTTTCCTCTTAGATCCGCAACATGGGCACAGGGCTGTGTGCAGACACGAAGCATGGGGCCCTGGGCTCCCTGCTGAGGCTGGAGAACTGTGTCAGGGGCCGCGGGGAGGCTGCCTGGAACAACATGCAGGTAAGGGCCACTCTTCAGGGACCGGCAGCCAGGTTCTCTGAGCCATCTGTGACCTGGGGTGCCCCCCGTCGTCAGGACTGGGAGGGAGAGGCCACGGACAGTGATGAGTGACAAAAGTCAGCCTAGGGGAAGAGTTATAAGAGCTTCCTAAACACCTTGGAAAGGACATTTCTTCACTGTAGAGCTAGGGCTAGGGTCTGAAGCTCACAGACCCCTCAAGCCAGTTCACAAACCCTTCACATGCAGGTCTATGAGCTAGGTAACTGGCAAAAAGTTCCTTGGAGCCTTGGTTGAAGAAGGAATAGTCTTTATTCAGCACACACAACACTATGAGCTAGGCAGCACAAAGAGAAACTCAGAAACTCAACTGTTACCAGCAAAGTCCAAAGAAAAACTGAAACTGAGCAGCTGCCAGCAGAGTAAACATGCTCTATTGTTAGAGGCAAGCTCTCTGCCCCCAGCCTGCTTGCAAACTGCAGAACACACAAGAGCAATAACTAGAAAGATACATGGGTACACATGCACACTAACTCCACCCACACACAACTTGTTTACAGGAAATGTCCAGGGAGCCTGTCTAAATTATCCTATTTTCCCCACACTTCACACTGCAGTAAAACCATGAATCTATACCGTTTTGGTTACAAATGATGGAAACCCAGCCCAAATGGCCTTCAACAAAAAAAGGGAGTTATTGGATCCTGTCACTGAAAAGTCTCCATGATGTCATCTGTATCTCTCTGGAGTCTGCTTCCTTCTTAACCTGGCTCTTCCTACATGGTGGCATATGTGATCATTAGCAGTGAAAGCTTCCAGCCCTCCATGGATAGGCATGCCCCTTCCAGGAATTCTGGAAAAGGCCTGGGGGTGTGGTCAGCCTCACCTGAAGGATAAGGAGGAGGGTGGGAGAAGGTTGGTTACCCAAGTAATGTTATCAGGAGAATGTGCGATGTCCCCCGGACTTGCAGCCCCTACTCTCAGGAAACTACCTTTAGTTTTCTGTGGTTCCCTCTTGTCTGGCTATGACAAAGGCTACTGTGAGGCTAATGTCTCGAATCCTGCTCACAGTGCCAATTGTCTAGCTCTTAATCCTGTTCGTGACGCCAATTATAAAGCTAGGTAACCACGCTAGTTGTCACAGCTCTTTTACCTGCTGGTAATCCTGCACCGCCTGGGTCAATGGTTGAGCTAGGGCTGGGTCTGGAGCTCCCAGACCTCTTAAGCCCATTCACAGACTGGGTCACAAACTCTTCACACACCAGGCTGGGTCACCAGACCCCTTCACACAGGTCTCTGAGCTGGGTAACTGGCCACACGGTCCTTGGAAGCTGCAGGTCTGGAAAAAACATGGCTGCGCAGGGCGGGTGCCTGAGGCAGTAAAAACCAGCCAAAGCAGCGCTGCTGTGCAGGTACACTAACTCCACCCACACACACAATATTACCAAACCACCCCTAAACTGGCTCCGAGGTGAGGGGAGCCTGACCAAATTGTTCCATTTTCCCAACAATCCACCCCTTCGGGGTCCCTCGTGTACAATCTATGTGTTCAGAATCTTCCACAATGTTCCCTTAGTGAGGATAAATGACTCTACATTTACATAACCTATTGTCCATTTAATATGCCTTAAAGCTTGCAGTTCTGTCCTTTCAACTGTCAGCTGCATATGTCCTGTTAGTAGTCACCATTGGTGTGATCCTCCATGCAAATCTATAGTCATACCGATGGGCAGTTCAATGCATATTCAGCAGGCTGACACGTTGATCACGCGACTCTGGTGCGGTGCCTGCAGCCAGAACACTATGGGCGAAAAGACAGAAGTTATTGGTACCAATAGGGGAAGTTTTCGCCCCTCTGGTAAGATACACGCCAGTTTGCCATCCTGAGAAAGGATGGTTGCAGGAGTAGGT